ACTGGAAAACAAGCCAGAAACAAGCTAATAATTTCAGTGCAATCATCCTTGATCAATTTTATAATGGGTTTCGGAGATTAAATCTCAATTTCCTGCCTTATGAATGAAACGTTTAAAGTGTGCAAGTGTGAGTGTGTGTGTGTGTGTGTGTGAGTGAGTGAGTGAGTGAGTGAGTGAGTGAGTGAGTGAGTGAGTGAGTGAGTGAGTGAGAGAGAGTGTGTTTTTGTCAGGTGTCCAACAACAGCATAGCAGCCAATAACTCATCAAGAGCAGTGGCATAATTTTCAGGGCACAAGAGTCCTTGCGCACATCTTGACATGAGGTATGTAATGGTTCTAATCTATCAGATCCACAGTGGCTTACTGGGCTTTTAAAGTGTTCATTAAAAACATGTTGGGTAAGACAGGATCGCGCACAGCAGAAGTAACCTAACCATACCAAATGTCTCCTAGCAACCTTGTGCTCGTCCATCAGTCTTTTATACCCAAACTAGGAATTAGTTTCTAATGGATTACATTCACTTGGTAATCCCTTCTTTATAAAGGAAATGAGACTGAGAGTGAGGTATGTGGGAAGGGAAATAATTTCATATTATTCATTTTCACTGCTAAAGTTACAAATTATTTAGCAGTATGGTCTCCAAACACCAAAAACAATTCTTACAGTACATTAAAAATTTTGGGGTCAGTATTTAAAAAAAATTTTTTTTTTTAAGAAATTACTACTTTTATTCAACAAGGATAGAGTTAAAAGTTACAGAACAGACATTTATTAATGTTACAATTTCCTTTTTATAAAAGTTACAATTAAGATTTCCATTTTATATAAATTTTCTTTTCAACTTTCTATCAGAATCTTGAAAAAAAGTATCAGTCTCCACAAAAATATTAAGCAGCACAACTGTTTTAAACTTTGATAACAATACGTAATGTTTCTTGTGCACCAAATCAGCATATTAGAATGATTTCTGAATGATCATGTGACACTGAAGACTACTGAAAAATCAGCTTTGGCATCACAGGAATAAACTGCATTTTAAAACATATTCAAATAGAAAACCGTTACTTTAAATTGTAATAATATTTCACAATATTATTTTTGTTCAAACAAATGCAGTCTGTATGAGCATCAGAAATCAAAAACATTTTAAAAATCATGTTAAAATCATGAAACATGTTAGATGACACAAAGACACAATATTAACAATTATTAAACATAAGCTGTCATTTGATCAAGCTTGGCTGGTCAAACTAGAGGATCTTACTGCCGTACAATAAGGTATGAAGTGTAAGATGAGGTACCTATCTCACTGCCGGCTCTGGTGGAGAGGGCTGGCATGGTGACTGGCAAATCTGCTTCCTTTCAATTTCACAATGTTACCACAAAAATCCAGCAGCGTTGGGGCAGGCCGACTCAACCCCAGGAAGAGTCTGCAAATCCTTGGTTATGTCATTGGCAAATCTATAAAAGATAATAAAAGACATAATATTATTAAAATATAATAAAAGATTATATTAAAAGTACAGAGGTTATCAATTAAGCATGCATATACCAATAAAATGTTTTAACAGGATAAGCCCTTCAAACTGAACTCATTCTGTAATATCTGTAATATCTAATGAGTTCAAAGATGGAAGATGTGAGGCAAAGGAACAGAGAAAGCAGCAAAGAGACAGAATGAAAGAGACAGAGATACATTAGCCCCAAATGTTCCCAAAATCAATTCCAATTTCTGCTTTTTCCGTCTAGGGCCCTGTGCCTGCTCGGATCTGTGCTGCGGCACCGAAAGCACCTGAAACCTTTATGTCACCCCAAAGACCTGTAACCACTGGCCCGAAAGAACAAATGAAAAAGAGATGGAAAGAGGAAGGTGGGGGCAACCATACTTGCTCTGCCTCTATATAGATCACACAGTATCAGGTTTGTGGAACAAGAATCCGTATGGAGAGGAGAGAATAAAAAAAAAAAACACCTGATTGCAATGAAAGGTATGCTGGAGATTCAATCATATGCTGCTATGTGATAATAGCAAAGCACACTGCTGCCATCTAGTGGTGACAATAGAGCTAATTACAATTTACAAAGTGCAGCAATCAGGTGGCTCTGCAATTTGAACCAAAAAAGACACAAGAGGGGAAGATGAGCAAAGAGACTTGTTTCAGCGGTAAAGTGATTTAACACACTTAATTAAAAAACACAGACATGCATACACCTCTCCAGATAATTGGAAAAGAACACATTAGAGATCAGATGCTACAAGCCCCCACAAGATCAGAGAGTTCAGAGAGACAATACACAAAAAACACAAAAGCTTGAGGTTAGTTTGATACATTTCCCTCTCTATTGTTTGTTACATCATCCTCCATTCTCTATTTCCTCTGCTGACCCTTCTCTGTCGATCTCTCAGTCTCCCTGTAGTCTTGTAACTCCTGCCTGCAACTGGCTCATGGCAGTCGTGTTGTTATTAAAGGCATGGCGTGTCATTGGTGTGCACATGCGGTTTTAAGAGCACATGCGCCACGCTATTCCAATGTGCGCAAGTGTGTTTATATGTCTGTAAACTTCATACTAGAGGTCGACCGATTCATCGGTTTTGCCGATTAATCAGCACCGATAGTTGATTGGCGGAACTATCGGCGACGCGTTGGGTGTGTGACTTCTCCGAGAACGCATCTCTGCGCTTTTGTCCAGTGTGTGACTTGCGTATTTTTTTTAAATTTTGATTGTGAAAGAGTACACATACAATATCAATAACATATGAAATTTTAATGCTATGGCCTTGTGTAGATATTTAAAGATGGCCATCTTTAAGCATGACTGTTGAAATTAAATGGTAATACTTTACAGTAAGAGTCCTTTTGTAATATTAATGAAAGCTGTAAAAGTATTGTTCCTAGTGTGTTCATTTCAACATTTACTATTACTAATAGGCTATATTTTTACATTTTAAAAAGTTTCTTTTTTTAACATTAGTAAACTAAGAAATAACTTTAATGATCAATATAATAATTAATATTAATATGTTTATTCATTTACAAAGTATGGTTCAGTACTGCTACTGCTTTTTTAAAAATAGTAAAGCTCTGTTTTAGATTTTCGTTTACCATTTTAAAAACTATCGGTTGATTAATCGGTATCGGCCAGTGTGGTCCAACCTAGCTATCGGTATCGGTAAAATCCACTATCGGTCGACCTCTACTTCATACAGTAAAAAAAAAAAAATAGAAATGTAGTCTTCCAGTCAATAAAACATTTGGACTAATATTAGGGTCGTGCTGCTTCTGGAAGAATAAGCAAACCACTAACACACTTTTGTACTTGTACACTACAAGTCAAGGGCAAGGCGAGGATGAGGGCACCTGTTATCACAAAGTTGGAACTGTAATGCATATGGTTTACATCTTGTGGCTGTACTAAAACAGTAAGTATTTTAATGTTTACAGATTGGCCCCAAATCCAAAACAGCACCCCTTTTCTGTGTTACAGATTTTTTTCCTGTGACAAACAACATTATGCCAAAAAATGCTGTCGATTGAGCTTAATTTGAAACCAGAGCATTAATGTGTTATACACGTATGGCAAACGATAAATTGTCATTTTGCCTATAAGCTACTTTTATTACTGGCATGCAGCTGTAAAGCCATTCCCCACAGACCACAAGAGAAATGTCAGGACTTTTTGCATAAAAAAAAAAATGAGAGTAATTATTATAGGTAATTGATATGGGCTCTAATATATTTGAGCATCATTGCTTCATAAAGAATATGTGAATCACTAAATCAAGGGCACCAGGAGATCACTGAATCATCTGCAGGTGCATTTCGAGTATTATAGATCAGTAAATCATGAGAATTATAGCATTTATGTTGGACTGAATGAGCCACTAAAGATGATGTACAGTCAAAATGAATTATGACGAAGAGCTACTGGAAACGTGTGTAACGTCAGTAGTGTAATAAGAGCGGGTAGGGGCTAAATTCAGCTGTGCTGACTCGTTGGTTGCATTTTTACTGCTGAAATGTCATCTGAATAGACCTATATATATATTGTGTATATTCTGCATTTTGTGGGATGTATTTTTAGGGGACCATCAATATGTACATCTAAAAAAGCATGCATCTTTAACATTATCTTTTTATGTTTTTCACACATAACCTTTCAACATTTCTCACCATTTGTCTCATACTCGCATACAGCAGGTCTGCTGCCATGAAGGTCATGAAGGCCTAGAAGAACTTTATCCAAAACACACATACCTGTTTTATATGGAAAACTACAAAACGCTTCCCTGAGTTCATACAATGAACCATTAGGAACACAACAAATTGCCTCGTGTCAGTAACGCATCATAGGGCAGACTGACTATGAATGTGAGTCTTCGAAAACTACAATAAAATGAAGTCACTTGGATAGGAGCTTATCTGTTGCTATGTTGGGCTCAAGAGGTCAGTAGTTGGCTGGTTAGATTTGCAGTTATCCCCTGCTGGAAGATCTTACACCATTATGCTGGCAAAAAGCATATTTAACTATTGACACAAATCAAAGGTATGAGTGTATTCGGATTAAACCATTTACAGTTGCGGTCAAAATTTTGCATACTGCAAAAGATACTGCAAAGTGTATCTCAAAAGATGCTGAAAAACTAAAGAATTTGTGTGAGCTGAAGGATTTTCCTGAAGAACAATGGACAGTTTAACTGTTCAGGACAAACAAGGGACTCTATACAACTATATAAAAAAAAAAAAATTAAAAAAAAGACAGCTGTGGATCATCCAGGTAACAACACAGTATTAAGAATCAAGTGTATATAAACTTTTGAACGGGTCATTTTTTATAAATTCACCTATTATTTTCTCTTGTGGACTATATGTACACATCTTTTATGTGAAATATCTTATTCAGGTCAGTACTAAATAAAACATAACATGCATTTTGTATGATCCCTCTTATTTTGGTAAAATAATTAACATTTTGTAGACGACAACTGTATACAAGTAGTATATAAATAGGGAAAAAACCATTATAGTGGATGTATAACTATTAAAATCTTTTTTTTTTTTTAAACAAAGAACTAGGGTTAAATAGATTTGTGTCTTTGCTTGTCTGCTGCAATGGGATCATATGCATGCGGTCAAGGTTTGTCTGGTTAGCATGGCCCTATTAACCCCTGCTGGAAGATGTTGTAACTACAAATTCTGTGGGCAAAAGGTATCTTTCTCCACTGGGGGGTATTTAAAAGTAGCTGTCTTTTCTGACATATATCTCTTTTAATATGTAATTACAGGAAAGTACAGTAAAACAATATTGTGAGAACATCAAAAAGCCACAGTGTTTACAGTCTTCTGGATGGCTTAATTTTGGTTCTCTTTGAATATGAAGCTAAGACAGAAGAAAGTGCTTTAACATCAAAAAATGTAACACACCAGCTTTAATGTTTCTAAATCTACTTTTGCACATTAATTCAGTGTACACATGCTGCATGTATCAGCTCACAACTTAACACCTGCCTACTGACAACACACACACACCCACATACCTGAACAACAAGAACAGCGAGTTCCTCCAAGGTTTTTTTTTTTTTTTTTTTTCAGTCGGTTTTTCAATGTATATGGGCAGATCTCGGGCTCTGATGTAAAAAGTTATAAATCAAAAATGTTTAATAAATAAAGAATAATAAAATAAATAAAAAAACAGGGGCTAAAGAAATGCCATGTGCTGCACTTTCCACATGCCTCTTTAAATAGATTGTTTGCTAGGAACAATCTGATAAAACCAAAAGAGAGGCAAAAAGACAAAAAAATAGGGAATAATTTTTAGCACAGCAACGCTGTATAATGCAACATTTCTATGTTTTTTTTTTTAAGAAAACATTATCTTTAATTACTTCTAGGATGGTACCATAAAATTATTACAGATAATTTTACACATTGTAACCACCAGGTAGAGATACAGCATAAAGCTACATTTACAAATCAACCACTCAAACATAAAAAAAAAAGAAAAAAAAAAAAAAGTGTACCACATAGTTGAAGATAAATGAATGAACGTGTGATAACTTAAAGGGATAGTTCACCCAAAAATGAAAATTACCCCATGATTTACTCACCATTCTGAAGCAACGCAATGCGTTTGTATAAGAAAAATATCCATATTTATAACTTTATAAACCTTAATCTCTAGCTTCCGCTAACTGTCATACACGCATTCACGAGAGAGTGGCGTCAAGCGGATGACGTAGCACGTTGGCAAATGCGGTGACGAACGCGGAAGTGACGAATATGGAAGCGCAGAGGAGAGAGCAAAACAAAACACCGGTCACGAATTAGTAGTACAAAATGAGGGTTTGTAAAAAAATGTTGGAGGATTTCAATATAAGCCAAGAGGACACTGGTTTTCCTTTGCTGTAAACAAAACTTGTTTCTCGCGAGACTAGCATATTCTCACTGAAGTTTACGCTACGC